TCTGCCCTTAGCTCAGGCATGCAGGCAGAAGGAGTTGCTTAGTTAGGAAAGCCCCTCCTCCCCTCCTACAGATGAAAATAAAATGCCCATAAACATTTCTGGGGTGCATGACATCATTTTGGTCTAGACTGCAATCCATGAAACAACTAAAGAAATGTAAAAAGAAAGTTTAAAACAAGCAAATATAATATACCTTCCTATCTATTTACTAAGGCTAGCAACATAAGGATTAAAAATAATGTTGATTGAAGCAGTTTAGTTCTGCTTTAACCACTTCCCGTCTGGCCCATGTACATAAACGGCCGGAAGGGAGCAGTGCAGGATCGGGTGGTCGTTTATAAACGTCCTCCCACATCCATTTCCTGTGCGCGCTCCCTGGGAGCGTGCGGCACCGCACCGCGATCCGGTTCTCGCTGTGTCCTAAGAACACAGCGGAACACCGATCTCTGTACGGTACCTCTGTGTGAGGTCCCGATCATGTGATCACTGATTGGCCATTCACAACAGCCTTGTACCATGTGACAAGCTGTGACCAATCACAGCTCTCACAGTATTTCTCAATGGCTGCAAGAATTCAGCCAGAGAGAAGGAGAAATTATTGCTTTTACAGCCTTTATGGGTGTAAAAGCAAGCAATGTAAAAAAAAAAAAAAAAATCTTCATCACCCCCCCCCACAAGTAGTACAGTGTTACTATGGTGACACTGTACTGCTAGGGTGACCGTATGGTAAAAAAAAAATAAAAATAATATTTAAAAAAAAGTAAAAAAGTTTTTTGAAAAATTATAATTTTTGGATATACACTAATTTGGGTTTTGTTTTTACTAAAAAGATAGCTGAATACATTTTGGCCAAGATTTATGAAGAAAGATTATTTATTTGCAAAATTTTATAAGAAAAACACTTTTTTCTTTCAAAATGTTTGAACTTTTTCATTTATATAGAAAAAAAATAAAAATCCTAGTGGTGAATAAATACCACCAAAATAAAGTTTTATCTGTCTCAAAAAAATGTTAAAAAATTCATATAGGTACAGTGTTGCATGACTGCGCAATTGTCATTCAAAGTGTGATAGTGCTGAAAGCTGAAAATTGGCCTGGGCAGGAAGGGGGTGAAAGTGTCCGGACTTGAAGTGGTTAAGCAATACAACCTGGTCTGTGACCCACTCCTAGCAAACTGATTGGACAGTAAAGGAGCATCACCATACTAGGGTCTATGTCAATGCGCTTCAATGGGCAAAAGTAACATTTTTTACATCAGTCTGGGATGCTTCTGAGATCATTCAAAATTCAATGCATGTGCAGTTGCCCTGCTTCAGCTGCGTTTGCATTGAGATAGACTTGTATTGGGAGAGAAGCAGTTCAGAAAGGAACAAAAGTCCATCAATACTGGTCTTTAGCCTGAATGCCTTGTGCTATACAGTTGTGTCTTATTGACTCAGTATACTGCCCTTCCCTCTTCAAGTCGAAGTCCTAATTTTCAGGATAACAGGAAACCAGTGTGAAGATGGCTGTAGGCACATATACCAGGAGTATTTGAAGTACGCCTATAGTTAAATGTTAACATAAAGCTATAATGAGATTCTTACGGGGTCAATAAATTATAAGAGAAGGGCTTGAGTACATGAAGTGACCATGTCAGCCACCATAATAAAAAAAATCCATATAGAAATTCCCACAATAGAAGAACTACTCTCACCTCTCCAACAATCCATTTCTCTTTAGTTCTGAAACCTCCAGCAGGTTCTTTAGTATTTAATATTGTTACTCCCAAAACCCTTCCACTCCCCACGGGCATTAAGGCTCCATCCTCCAATCCTCACATCACTGTTCTGACCCCTTCTAGTCACTAAACTAAAAGTATAGGCATTTGGGTATAGCATTTGTGTTGAAGGGTCAGTTTAGAACCTGGATTGATGGATCTTCCCCAACAGGAGAGATCCCAAAAGACAAAGGTGTAGCTTACTGGCCATGCAACAAGCACTGGAAGTAGCTTAGTGCAGGTTTTACTCCATGAAAGATACTTTAAATGTGTTTTTTATAATGGATACGTTACTGGGTAAGCAACAGAAAAATAGAACTGTCATGTAAAATGCAACGAGACACTGTAGTTTAAACTCATTTTTATGTTCTAAGCGACATATCGGCATGGATGTCACTCCACTTCCTCAAACTCAATCTTTCCAAAACTGAGCTCTTAGTATTCCCTCCAGCCCATGCCCCCTCCCCTGACTTCTCCATCAAGATCAATAATACAACCATCAGTCCCTCCCCTCATGCCAGGGTGCTAGGTGTAATCCTAGACTCCAATCTGTCCTTTCACCCCCAAATCCAATCGCTTTCCAAATAATGTAGACTTCACCTCCCCAACATCTCCAAGATAAGCTTGTTCTTAACCTCTGAAACCACTAAGCAACTTATTCACTCCCTTTGTTATATCTCGCCTTGACTATTGTAACTCCCTCCTCATTGGCCTACCTCATCGCAGGCTATCCCCTCTTCAGTCTATCATGAATGCTGCTGTCAGACTCATCCACCTCACTAACCGTTCTGTATCTGCCACCCCTCTCTGCCAATCCCTCCACTGGCTTCCCGTTGCCCAACAGATAAAATTCAAAACATTAACAATAACATATAAAGCTATTTATAACTCTGCCCCAAAATACATCACCGATCTTGTCTCCAAATATCACCCAAACCGTACTCTCTGCTCCTCGCACGACCTCCTGCTCTCTAGCTCCCCCGTCTCCTCCTCCCATGCTCATCTCCAGGACTTCTCCAGAGCTTTCCCCATCCTCTGGAACTCTCTACCCCAATTTATCAGAATATTACCTACTCCGCTTACTTCTAGGCAATCTCTGAAAACCTATCTTGTCAGGGAAGCCTATCCTGCCCTCAGCTAATAATGGAATTTTCTATTCCTCCTATCAGTTCATCCCCCACAGTTATTACCTTTTCTACCACTAGCCCCTCCCTCTTAGATTGTAAGCTCCAAGGAGCAGGGCCCTCCTAACCCTCTTGTATTGAACTGTATTGTTGCTGTATTGTTTCCCACTATCATGGAAAGCCCTGAGCAAACTGTTGGCGCTATATAAATCCTGTATAATAATAATAATAATAATAAAAAATGTTCTGTAGTTCCAGATAAAGCTGACACAATGATGGCACCTGAGAGAATCCTATGTCTTATCTCCTTGTCTGAGTGTTATAGATATCAAGTATACAGGCGTAGATTCAGAAATATTTGGAAGTTGAACTGGTATTATCCTTAACAATTTTTTTGCTTTGTAGAATAATCTGATAGAGATTTTGTTTCTGGAGATTTATTATTTGAGATGAGAAAGGTTCAGTGTTCTCACTCTTTGGATTATTTGCCCGGAATCTGCAAATCCAGCAAAACAAAAATGTGCATACACACACGGAAAAAAGAAGAAAAAAAAAGAACAGAGGGCGGAACTAAAAAAACATATAATGAAATGCAGACCTTAAAGAGCGATTCTACCAACACAGGCTTCTCTGTTTTGGATAGAGTAGGTGCATTGGTGCAGAGGGGGTGAACCATCTCTTTTAGCTGGCCTTCTTGTGCGGTTAAAATGCCTGCATTTGTTAGTGCGATACCATGGCTAGTGAGTGTAATAATCTAGTAAGGGGACCGCACCAGACAGTTGGCCTATGGGGGCAAAAGGTGTAAAACCAGACCAGTATATAATATGCAGTGGTAGATTACACTAAAGGCAGACTGAGCAGATGACTCTAAGGAGACTTATGGGGATGCTAAAAAGTTCTTCACTTCAGTGTTCTTTATAGTAAATCAGCCTCAGAAGTATTTAGAATTTTTTTTCCAGGTAAAATTAACATAAACATTTCAAATATATATATATATATATATATATATATATATATCTCAATAGTCAGCTATATAAATGTCTTGACCTAACTTAAGATTCTGCTGTTCCCTCTTTATAACTATGGCACGGAGGTGTCCATCACCTTTCATCCAATCACACGAGTGCTGAACAGGGAGGCCTGCTGGGTGGCAAGCTGAGATCACAGGGCAGAGCCTGAGGAGTGGATAGAGATATCCTTGTACCTCATTGCTTAGAGGAAAGTCTGTACACCATCCGGATCTCTTGGGAGATTTATTTGGGAGTCTTTGATACATCTGCTGAGCTTGATATCTGCGTTATTTGACTAATCCTTTGGTTGGTCAAATTTTACGGTACAAGGCTAAGTGATTGGGTGAAAGGTGATGGACTCTTTCTCTACTTTTGGTGTCTGTCTCACTAAGCACCATTACTACTAGACCATATGGATGTTTATACAGACTTTTATTTAATGTATATTAGTGGCACCTAATTATTCCACTTTGCTGGGGATTGGATAGTATTATTCATCGTTGTTAACTATTTGCTTAACCTCCCTAGCGGTCTGATTATGTCCATATTTCTGCGCTCAAAGCGGTACATTTTTTTGCATGGAAATATGTATTTTTTTATTGTAGGCTTGTAATTTTTAGGAATAACTCACTGAAATCTGTCTGAACAAGAGTCTAGTAAACATCCCGGGTAGGGTAAAACTTGAAACACAAAATCATAAATTATAATTTAATAAATAATCATAAAAATTATATTATAATAATAATAAAATTAATTCGATAATATAATCAAACCAAAAACACTGAAATTTGAAATATAGCGCCAAGTTCGCACATCGCTGAGCAAAGTCGCAAAATCGTTTTCAGTGTCTGATGATGAATTTCCCCCACAAATCATTATCACTCAATTCTGCAAGTGGTTCTGATTTACTATCGCTGTTCTCTAGCCGGTCTAAAACCGCTTTTGACCTAAAGGGACGCTTTTTGGACGCCATGGACATTTCTCAGTTTCCAGGCAGAAAGAACAGTAAATATGCAGGCAGGGCAAAGCACTCGGGACACAATGTATGTGAAATGGTTTGATACAGTAATGTTTTACTATGTGATTTTAGTGATTTTAGTGAATGTCACTTTTTGTCATTTTAAAATTTTCCTGCCGTTCCGTCCCCCGTACGTCTTGACGCTCGCAGGGGACGGAACCCAGAAGACAGATGCCGGCATCCGCTGGATTACATTGCCGGGGACACTGCAGGAGGGACATCGCGGGAGTGCAGGACAAGGTAAGTGATCGAGGGATCGCAGAGCAGCGCCGCATGGTAAGCCGGAGTGTAGCTCGGGGTTACTGCTTGTGGTACTGAAACTTTATCCCGAGCTACACTCGGGAATACCTCCAGGGGGGTTAAGCACTACACTGAGTGTTTTTAGTTTGTCAATTTCTGCTTAATTATTGTGTTGGCTGCTCTTTTTATGTGACTTTTAAATTCCCAAGTGCAGGTTTTCTGTTTAATTATGTGACTGTAGCAGGCAGACATTCTTAAAGGAAGACAAAATGGAACTGCTCTAAGCCTTATCCAAATAAGGACTACAACCAGCATCACTTTCAAGCTCATTTCAACTCTTAACCTTCCTAGGCGGTATTCCCCAGTGTAGCTCGGGGTAGAGTTTCAGTACCAAAAGTGGTAACCCCGAGCTACACTGGGGAATACCATGCAGCATTGCACAGGGATTCCTTGCAGCGCTTACCTTGACCTTCGCTCCCACGATGTGTCCCCTGCAGCATCCCCGGCCATCTCCTCCAGCCGATGCCGGCATCCGGCTTCCGTGTTTCAGTCCCTATGACGTCGGGACGTACGGGCGCCAGAACCGGCGGCAAATTTAAAAATGTTAAAAAATGACATTTTTTTAAAAACGATTATTACATAGTAAAACATTGCTGTTTCAAAGCATTTCACATACATTTTGTCCCGAGTGCTTTGTCCGGCGCCCTGCCTGCATTTTGACTGTTCTTTCTGCCTGGAAACTGAGAAACGTCCATGGCGTCCAAAAAGCGTCCCTTTAGGTCAAAAGCGGGTTTAGACCAGCTAGAGAACAGCGATAGTAAATCAGAACCACTTGCAGAATTGAGTGATAATGATTCCGTGGGGAAATTCGTCATCAGACACTGAATACGATTTTGCGACTTTGCTCAGTGATGTGCGAACTTGGCGCTATATTTCAAATTTCAGTGTTTTTGGTTTGATTATATTATTGAATTAAATGTATTATTATTATGTTATTATTTTTTATGATTATTTATTAAATTTATAATTTATGATTTCGTGTTTCAAGTTTTATCATATCCGGAATGTTTACTAGACTCTTGTTCATACAGATTTCAGTGAGTTATTCCTAAATTACAGCCCTACAATAAAAAAACGACATATTTCCATGCAAAAAAATGGTACCGCTTTCAGCACCAAAAATCTGAAATAATCATACCGCCAAGGAGGTTAAAAGAGAGGTAGCACCAGAATTTCAACATCTTTATTGAATCTCTCAGGGGACCCAGTGAACAGGTGGTTTTAAACTAGAATTACATTTCTTTTCCATATTTTCTGGCTGTAGCTCTACTGCAGACTGCAGCCCAATTTATGGGTGTTTCTATGAGAAAGTTGCAGCCAGTACTAAAGCCACCTTCTCTTTATTCTGCAGCCGTTCAGTTATTCCAGCTATGTACCTTCTCTGCTCTCCCCCCGTCACCTTCTTTGTACTAAAAATATTTTATTGTACTGAAAGGAAAGACTGAGCCCAGCCAACAGCTATTCAAAGGAGAGCAAATACAGTATTAGCTGACATATGTTGTTGGTTTATGTGTTTGTGAATGACAGTGCTCCTCTCCAGCATGCTGTTATTCACAACAACACAAACTGACAGCTACTACTATAGTCTCTCTCCCCCCCCGAATACCTCTCAATTAGGCACAGGTTGTACTTTCAGCACAAGTAAATATTTACAGTACAAAAATGGTGGCAAAGGAGGCACAAAGTTGAAGGCTGCAGATGTTCCTGGCAGAGTTCAGAGGAGATAAGGTTTCTATGGAATTTGTGTTTGCTGTCCATCATGTTCCTTCCTGTGTGTGCACTTTCAGTCATAACTAAAGAGATTGTAAAGCTGTATTTTATTTCATTAAAATAATAAACATTGTATATTTACTTGCTCTGTGGTTATGCATAGAGTGGGTCCAAACCTCCCTTTCTGTGGTCCCCATCAGCACTCTTGGCTCCTCTTCCCTTTCAAGTGCCTTGCTATGCGGGCACTAGTGCGGGCTTAATCACGAGCTGGGCTGTGTGAGTCTAATGACACACACGGCACATCTCGGCCCTGCTCCCTCCTCACAGGATTTGGTTGACAGCAGCAGGAGCCAATGCCTCCCTCTGCTGTCTATGAGCCTGTGAGGAGAGAGAGAGAGCAGAGAGCTGCTGCTATCGGGCACAGCGCTGCATCAAGATCGGGCTCAGGTAAGTATTTGGGCTGAACATGGAAGTTTTTTTTTTACGATGATGCAGAAAATGCATTAAGGTAAAAAAACCCTTAGCTTTTAGAACCACTTTAACTATTCCTCTTTTTGTGGGCAACCTGGCCAGACACCAACGGGGTCGGGTGGGGTTGTGTGTAGCATACTGTAAACCACATTAGTTCAAAGAAGAACTCTGAACAAAAATGTTATTTTCCCATGCAGTGGGGGTTAAATGCTCATTTTTATCCAGGGGTATACTTAATCCACATTTTTATCCAGAGATATACTTAATGCTAGTGGTTTTGGGAATGGGCTGATTCTGACGTCGCCATGCCCATAAACTGGCTCCGGATGTGAGGACAGCATGAACAGTCCACTGCTGGACATAGGGAGGCACTGTTTACCAGAGAATCAGAGGATGGGGTAAGAATAGCTTTACCCTGAGCCTCTGGACTGGATACAGCCCCAATGCATGGGAAAATAAAGATTTTACGTAGAGTTCTGCTTTAACAACTCCTTCACAGTTGGACAGCTTGCTTTGTGCACTGGGTCCCCTGGGGAATTTAACAAGGATTTCCAATTTCTTGTGATAATTCATTACGTTGCAATTTCAAAAAAGAAGCAATGGGCGCATATCAATCTAGTGTTAGTTGTCCACTTTTATCAGACCGGACTATACAAATACAAGACAGCCTAATCCCTCTGATTCCTGCTTAGCACAAATCTACAGAGCAGGAGCAGGCAATCAGGCGTCCAGGTGTGAATAAATAAAGTGCGAGTACATGCAGTTTATTCATAAAAAAAGTAAAGAAAAATATTTTTAATTAGCTGTAGTCCCCTGCAAAGCAAAATTTTGGCTACCCACACTGATGCAGTGTTGTCAGTCTGACACAGGAAAAATGCTTACAGAAGTTAAGAGAACAGAATTAACAGACTGATGACTTACTGGTGGGTTGCTTCATTGCTCAATCAGGAGGCCAGGTGTTTGTCCTGGACTAGTTTTTACTACTACTTTTAGCGGAGGTCCAAGACCCATCTGTGCTGTCTGTCAGAGCTGTTTTGATCACAAGATTGGCTGAACAAAATTGCTAATCTTTATAATTTAAGACTTTTCAGATACTGTATATGTATTTTAGATGTGTATTTTGTTGCTTGCATGGAGTTCAACTTCTGAAATATTACAGCTTCTGAAACAGTATTCCTAAATTTTGGATTTAATTTCACTCTGAAATTTTAATTTTGGCTTTTCATTGAAAAATGGTACATGACTGTTTCTTGCATGTTCACTTTATTCCAAACCTGTGCAGATCAGTAGGCGTTAAGGAACTTTTATACAGCTGGTGGAGCCAACATTAGAGTTAACTCTTTCTACAGTCCTGACCTTCTCTCTGATGCTATCCCCAAAGAAAGTTCATTCCACCCCCTGCCACCCATGCTTCTTTGGGCTGAATGATGGCTGACATCATTTAAGCACCTAGGGGTGCATCAACATGTCGACCTGAGTTAAAAAAAACAATACTTCCAATACTGCCAGTGCACAGGCTGAGCGAGAGAAAATCAGAATATTCCCTAATCCATGCTAACAGTGTAGATGGAGAGCTATTATTGTATTCAGGGGGCAACTGCACCCACGACTGCCTGAATACTATGGCATTATCAAACACTCAATGGTGCAAGCATTGTTCATCCAATAATTTTCCATCTGACTCTGTTGATTTTTAACTTCAATTTTGTCAAGCTAAGTGGTGCTTGAATGGTCGCTCATGGCCCAGATTTGAGATGTATATCTGCAATATTAAAGACTGCCCACTGCTGATGCCATATTGGAGGAGGACCCTGGGCTGTTAACTGACCATCCAAAAGATTGCTGAATTTTAAAGCGGTATTAAACCCAAAAAAAAACAAAATTGTATTATATTGCATCTTTTCTGTTTTTAGGTGTGGTGGATGCATTAGTTATCTTTCTTAGGCTTTTTTTTTCTTTATTTCCATTGGTTGATCTTTTAATAAACCAAGCTCGAGGAAAAGTGGCAATTAGAGAGTTTTGACAATCCATCTTTATCTCAAACAGAAGAAAAATGTCACTGTAAGAACAGTGTTAGCAGGAGTTTGGCTTTAATTTGTTAGTCAGGTCCAATTAAAGTGGAACTAAAGGATGTGAAACTCATCTCTTTCTTCCAATGGTCCCCATCCTTTGCTGGCCCTAACATCTTCTTCTGTGTGCCGGTCTTTGGTTATCTTCATTGCCAGCTCAGTGCATCTAATACTGTTCTCTCCATTGAAAATGCTGTTGTCCAAAGGTGTCTCCGTTGCTCCTCCATCCAGTGTGGAGACACCCTAAAGTCGGCCATAAAATCTGGGCCTGGTTCAACAGGAAGTGGCCAAGATTCAAATCATGTATGGGTAGGCTGAATGTACCAGAGTTGATAGAATGATCAACTTGGGTACAGCCAGCCTGTTGGATTTTACATGTGTTTATTGCTAGCGGATATTATAGCCACTTGCAGTAATCACTGTGTTCTCTCATAAGGGATGTCTCCCCCCGCCAGGAGAACACAATGACTCCATTGGAGAGATTCCCCCATCAACACAGTCAGTGGGTGCAGAAAAGAAAATCGCTTCATCTATGGCCAGCTTAAGACAGAAAATGTGTTACTGGCCAGATCATAGGGTGGAATTAGAGGGGTCAAAAGCCTTTAAAAAAGAAAATGAAGGCAGTCTTCATATGTAAACACTGGTAAGCTGCAGTATATTACAGTTTTGTGTTTGGGTTTATTACCCCTTTAAGGTATGTATAAAACAAATAGGGGAGATGTGCTTTAAAGAATGAGCACAAGGCTCTCATCAGCATCATGGAGTCCCTAAAGTGCAGACTGATCTGTTACAATTCATGAAGCCTTCTTTTCCTTGTAAATATAATACAGGCTGCTAAGCGGGGCTTGTAGCTTTTAGATCATTAATTCTGTTCTTGTGTCTTCATGCCTCTTTTAGTGTGTTTGGCACTGATATCATTTGCTGCATAATGGTTTTTCCTTCCCAACATGCGATTGGAGCAGAGTCCTTGCAGCAAGCCAGCCTTTTCACCGCTCCCCAGAGACCCAAACTCTAAGCCCTTAACAAATTCTTCTTACTCCATTGTTTTGACAAAAAATGTCAGTGCTGAGGTCTTTACTGGCTTTTACGGCTTGAACATCTAGTAAACTGCACTCTTGTGTCTCTATGGAGACTGATCAATTAATAAGAGCATGTGTAGATTAGTCATTGCCCTAT